ATTTCATTCGGCCAGTTAGCAGAGAAGAGGCAGAAACTAACGCAGCATGCACTGCCTACGACCAGCGTGCAAGCGACGCGGCTTCATATATCCCTGGCTGCCATGTTGTTATTGCCACTACTGGGCTTGTCTGGGACCAAAAAAGGACAGACTCACTCCACACACTCAACACCCATATGGAGAATGTGGACCTGCTCATTAGTGAAGAGGCACAGCAGGATATGGACCTCAAATCTGCCTTCGCGCCGACAGTCCCCCGACAACCCTTCTTTCGACTGCTGCTTGGTGATCCCAAACAGAGCCCTGGTGGAGTAGCCGATGGACAGAGAGCCCATCGCACGCTCTTACTCAAAGCTCGCATTGGGCTACGAGCCGCAATGCTCTAAAAGGCTTCAGTCCCTTCGCCTTTTTCCACCCATGCTAGTGTTCGTCACCGACCCTGCCCCAAGTTTACCTTCCCAGGTCTCGTGCAAAAGGTTGGGAAAATGGCCCTTTGCTCAGTCGCGGGTAGGTCCCCAAAGGTGTGTTTGCGTTTCTGCAAACTTAGTTTTGGCTGGCTCACAACAGGCGTGCCCCGTCAGAACGGAGGCAGCTCCCTGTCAAAAATGCCGCGTTTTTTCGTTACTATACTGTTAATGGCTGACCGAAAATTTTTGTTTGTCGTGATTGATGTCTTGGCCGCATGTCGGGAACAAGGTTTCTTGAAACTTGTTTCGTTGTTTCGTCATGGCACCTCCTTCGAACCACTGCGAAATGAAGTTGGAAGGGAGGAGGTCAAAGCAGCGCTGATTCGCGATGCCGGGGAGGCATTGTTCACCCCGGTTCCTGCCCCGTTCACCGGCAGCGCATCCTACAGTTTAGATTTGGTTGCGCTCACCCCATTTTTGCCCGGGCGCCACAGAAAACATTATTTTCGTTGTCCTTGAGGTTGCGCAGTCTATCGGAGACACGAAGGTTTCAACTGCGCCAAGCACAGCAGCTTTGGAGTGGAAACTCACAAGGCCATCCAACCAAGGCCAGCAACCATTTCCCACCCAGGAATGTTGGCGAAACCACTAACACTGGAGATGCCAGCTTGGATGCCCCGGCCCAAGCGCATGTGGCTTGGATGCCCGGGCCCAAGCGCATGTGGCGGCCCCCTGTACAGGCAATATTTTACTTCAACAACCCTGGCCGCAGCGGAAAATGCAGAACAGTGTTACCGGCCCTTTCCCCAGAAAAGTTTGGTGGCGCAGTCGGGCGCACATAATGGCACATGGCCCTTTCGGATGCAACAAATATTCGCGTTCCCCTTGCGCGTCTGTGGACAATTTAAAGCGCCCCAGGTCATGCGAGTGTAGCAGTGTGTTTGCAGTTTGCCAGTTTAAGATTTCCGCATGCATGTGAGGACAGCTGCGTCAAGTTGTGACCTGCTTTAGCTCATGCAATCGGTGCCCGGAAACGGGGCTGTGGTTTAATGATTGCCTTGCACTGCCTTGTCCTGCGCACTGCGCTGCCGCGGAAATGTGCGCGCAAACTTTTGTAAGACATTCTCCTGGTCTCCTAAACCATTGTGTTTGTTACCGTCCATGTGACCCGGGCGTTTGGTTTTCATTTTTTCGGGGTGAGGTGTAAAATTGCCGCATCATACGTGCTGACAGGGGGCTGCGCCCTGGTCGCCTCCCTCTTCAACTGAAGAAGGGCTCGATAAGGGCCTAGCTTCTTCTGTGCATGGCCCGTCTTGGCCCAGATATCGTGATGAAAATGTCGGGAGTCCAGCTATGGTTTTTGAAGGACAAGGCAGTCAGCCGTTTTTTGTCTACTCCCAAAACAGTCAGGTGCAAGGCCTTCGTAATGGAAACCTGGAGGTGTCCTTTTGTCGTTTAACAACCAGAGCTTGGTGGTGAGTGCGTCCATTCCGTTCATCACGGAGCCCATGATGGTTCGCACGCTGGCAAACAGATTGGGGGAAGAGCTGTCAGATCGAGGGGCTTGAAGAGCCAAGTGATGAGATTGAGGAGTTAAGAGGCGTCGCCTTGAGCAAGGTGATGGCCTTTGTAGCCCCAAAAGGAACCGTTCAAGAGGTTGGGCTTCGAGATGGGAGATGAGGCCAGCTCCGTGAGGCCGAGAGAGGGAGTTGAAGAACTGGCCATTCCACAAGGGCAGGACGATGAGATGGAAGAGCTTGGAGGGGCAGAGCTCCCAGGAGGAGAAGCGCCAGTCCGAGGCGGGCGCCCTTCCAAACCAGATTCGGGTGAATGATGTGGTTTTGACAAGAGTCTGGAAGCATCTTGCGCCGTCTGCAACTATCCTCCAAAAAAACGGCTGAAGAAAACTCGTTTGCCGTCACCGATGACCCAAGCATCTTGCACTTCTGCCGTCCCCAAGCTGATGCCCACCCTCTGAGGTGGATCAGCTTTAAGTCCCTGCTTTGGCTTCGAACAGGCAAACACCACTTTTGCAAAGGGACATAGCTTCTCATCATGGGCCTTGTCGAACTTCTGAGGGTTTCGAACCAATTTAATGTCCATGCTGCATGCCGACACGCCCAAGACCATAAGGGGTGCTGACTCTGACATTGAAGTGTTGTCCTCTCCGTCAAACACGCCATGAAAAGGAGTTTCTGGCCTGGGGAGATGAAATTGAGCAGGGAACCCAAGTGATCAGATGCTTTGTGGTCCCAAGCACCTCTGGACCGCGTACCTCCAGACCCTCCTTCATGGATTGATGAGCTGGCTGCTGAGGTGGAAGAACAGGGACTTTCCCGATTGGGAGTGCTCGAGGCGGAAGGGGAAAAGGTTCGATTTGGTCCAACCCCAATTCATGGAACAATTCCTGGAACAAGAAAATGGCTGGTACAAGAATGTTCTGAATCGGAATAGGAGTAGTTGGTACAACCGGAACTGCACGGGCAGAGGCAAAGGTAGCAAAGATAAAAAATCCTAAAGGCAAAAACGAGAGTATGAGTAAAAGGGTAGCGACAGTTGATAAATTCCACATTTGGGGCTCAAGAGCTGACTGTTTTCACTTGATCGAAAAGCGCCTCAACCGGGCGGTTCAATCTCTGATCACCTATACACGATCAACTGTACATACACATATATGGATGCGGAAATCTCAATCACCCCGCCTCCAGACACCAATCATCATTGGTGGATGGTTTATATGGGTAAAGCTTTCAGCTAAAGCTCCAAGGCAACAGGGCTACCCAAAGACTCATCAATCACGCGTGCTTTCAAAAGCCACGCTCATTTCGTGAACTATTTCGAATTCTCTGCTCTCAGAATCGTCAGAAAAGGGTCAGCACCATATCATATCCAGCGCTCTTGGGTTCACACCAGCATCGGCTTCATGCTCCAAACAAATCTGAAAAGCACTTCCAAAACTTGCACTTGGTGATCTCAGTCACTTTATTCACCCAAGTTTTGGTCGTTGGGGCGTCTAGAACAAATCTAAACAGCACTGCTCGAAAAGAAGAAAACTTTCTTCCAGGCCACAAGTTTGAATGCCCAAGGTCTCTCAGCGCATAGCACACATATAGGCAGAGAAACAAAATGCAGAAAATGAAACTTGGCCAAAACTGCTCATTCTGCATCTCTCGCTCCAGAACCCTGTAGCCATTCAACGCACAGCTTGCATCTGCAGGATCTGAACTGTACGAAGGACTCAAGGCGCTCATTGCCAGCACTACGCGTAAAATTTGTTTTGAAACAGTGTGCGAAAAACCCAACTCGCGAATATTTCGGATTTGCTTGGAAAATGTTTCTCTGGTTTGAACTTCGTCAAAAACATCGTGTCCAACACGTTCATCGCAAGACATGTCGTAGACTCCGCACAAGTACATCAACATGCGCATCCTATCTCTATGTAATCTCTTTGTTCCAAGATCTGCCACATTCCAGCGTGTGGGGATGGTGCTCAAAAGGACTTCACCTGCTTTTACTTTTGTTTGTATCCACAAACAGCGAGTGGACAAATGTCGAACCTTTCCTACTCCTTGGCGACACATGATTTGACGCGCAGCTGTGTTGTCCATGAAGAGTTTCAGCTTCAAATCATCTAGTTCACAATGAAGCAAAAAACAAAGGCACTGCTTGATCAGGATCGCGTCGGATGTGGCGGAAACGCCACAATACAGTTCAGCCTCCGCTGAGCTTAAAGCTATGGTCCGTTGTGTGCGATTCGAAGAATGAATCAAGCAACCATGGAAAAATACAGTTGATGCGCTCACCGATTTTCTAGTACCTTTGTGCGATGCCTAATCGCTGTCAGAGTACACCTCTAAAACAAGCTCGGAACCAGTATGGTGGAAAACGCCTTCATGGGGCTTGCAGCGAAATTGAATACCTTGATCAACACAACCTAAAAGGTACTGAACAAGGTGTCGAAGGAAAAGCATGTTCAGCTCACTAGGTTTGCTCATGTGTTGCGCTAACAGGCGGATCACATGTTGGCATTCCACAAAGTCAACAGAAATATACAGGAGAATACCGACTGCAGAACGATAGCTCTTTGCTGAGGCGGCGTCCAACGCCGCGGACTCATCTGCTTCTTCCAACATTGCATGTCCAGGGACCTTCTTAGGTTTTAACTCTCGGCCTACCTGTAGCAGCTCAAACAAACGGTCCAAATGTTTGGGATGACTTTGTATCAGAATTTCGGTTTCTGATTGCAAAATGTGGTTCTTCTTCAAAACACAGTTCGTCACCAACGTTCCTCATGACCTCAATAGCCACTTTGTAGTGGCCCTCAAACACTGGCATTAACTTCTCTGACAGAAACTTTTCGTGCACGAGACACAAAATGTCGTCGACATGCAACAGCATCAAACACTTGCTACACGCGCTACGCAACAAACAAGGGTAGGCTACACAGCTAGTCATACCAAGCTCGCGGTCAAGAATTGTGGTGATGCTCTCATACCAGAGTTGGCTCCCATCGCGTTGACCGGGGAGGACTTTACCCAGCACAAACTGTTCTGATGTGCCTGCTGCGGTTGAACAAGTTACAACAGTGGGTGTTTACTGCTCAACGGTCAGGAAAGCATCTGCCACATCTATTGCCGCTAGAACAAACCCTTGCAAACGAAGCTTCAAGAACAAGATTGGCAACAAACGAGTGGTCAGTGAACTTGATGCAGGCGAAAACAAATCTTCACGCTCTGGAGTCAGCCAAGCATATTCACGCGCCACATAGCGCGAACGACGCAACCACACATGCGCACCATTCCTCTTCTTATCCCTCCACGCCCTGACAAAACGAGTGGTCAGAGTCTTTGGGGTCACTGAGGTATCCAACTCAGAAAGAGGCAGAAGCACTCCAAGACCTTTCAGGCGTGCCATTTCAACCTTATCTGCCAGGGCGTCCAATGCCAAAAGGGAAGGTTCATCAAGCTCGGGCTCCAACGGAGTATATGGCACACACAACTGGTCCAAGGCTGCTTCAACCTCGCTCGACGAGAGCACTTCTTTTTCTGCATCAGATAGCACTTCGACATTTTCTTGCAATTCAAATTCGTACTCTTCCAAAAGTTCAACTTCTTCATGTTCAAACTCAAAGGAAACTACTTCGTCCTCATGCTCTAGAACATTTCGATCTTGGAACAGCCGTGGTGCTTTGCTTGGGGGCACGCGCGGCGCTTTGCTAGGAGGTTCCGTTTCCAAGGCTGAAGCGTCGCGCTCACGTGTTCCTGAAGAAGCTCGAGGCACCATGACTGCAGAAGCTGGTGGAGGCATCATTCGAGGCACCATGACAGCAGAAGCTGGTGGAGGCATCATAGGCGGTCGTTGCCCCGCCTGAGCCGGCATTGCTACATCAGGGGCTTCAGGTCGAGGCACGTCATCAGGAACAACAAGTGGTGGTGTCACAGGTGCACCTTTTGGAGCTGGGTATCCTGCTGGGTTTCCTGGCGGGGCCTCATCCGGAGTTGGAGGAACATTCATGACAGCCTCAGCATCTAGATCGCGTGGCGGTGGCCGGCCGGGGTCTCTCACACTGATGGCAGGAAAAGGAGTTGGAGGAACAATTCTCTTGGCCAGAACAAGTTGAGCACCCAAAGAGGCATATCCGTAGTCCCATGGATAGCTCTCAAATCCAGCAATCACATCAGAGTTGAAAGGTGGATCGAGTCTGCGAACACTTCTTTTGACAAAAACTTTCTCCCCAACACCAATAATATGGACATCATTGTTCAAGGTCTTGCCTAGCCAAATGCCCTTGCACCACCTTGGACTTCCCTTTACCTGGGGCTTCAAAAACCCAAGGACAGTTTCACCGTACATGCAAATGCGACCAGTGTACATGCGGTCACAACATCGCTCATAAGACGTCTGGTCTTGTTGAACTGCGAAACGATTTCTCGTCCAGCCTGCGTGCAAAAGAGACCAGCAATATAGGGGATGCTGGCAGCTCACCGTGTTGGGAATTCCAAGACTTTGTTCAACCTGGCTGATGAAAAGACCAGCCTGTTGGCGAAGGATGTTCACTGTGGTTTCTGCCGCGCCATTTGATTTTGAACTACCTGGAGGCACAGGTTCAGCTCGGGCTGAGATGCCAAGCGCTCTCAACGTCTTTCGGGCAGCATCTAAAAGGCTCAAAGGTGAAGGCTCATTGTCACACCTCAGGCCTACAGCCTCATGACCAGGTAATTCAGACGACGACCTCCCTTGGCATCAGCGGGAACACAGTGCATGGCACCGGTGAATTTGTCATGAATATACAAGCCACAGAGTTTGCGATCAGCATCTGACTCGAGCCTTCCAGAGAACCCAAAGTCAAAAGAAACAACTGAGTGACCACTACGTGACTCTTCTCGAGACTCGCGCGGATGGACATCTTGCCTGCTACGTGCCCCAACGCAGAGTTCGCACCAGGATGCAAATGGGTAATGCGTCAAATTATGTTCTGCAACTACTTCAGCGCTTCGCGCCTTGGGTTGAGGCTGCGCATTTGCAGAGCGTTGGGTTTCATCCTTCAGGTTGCGCTCAGCTGCACTTGCAGAAATCAGTTCTTGTGCTTGTAGGTGTTGCCACATACGCTGGAGGCAGGTCAACTTGTTTCCTCTGGTTGAGAGTCCCAGGTGCTGGCAAGCGTCACGAAGAACCCGCAAAGGACTGTTGGTGTCCAATCTCATGCCATTCACAATGACTTCTCTGGGGTCCGCGCTGTCATCACGTTCGCGAGCGGGAACCTCTGCGTCACCTGGGGCAGCAGGGACGTCCGCAGGACGGGGAGGTGCAGCACGTTTCAACACACCAAAGTGATCGTCACTCAAGTCAAAACCAAGGTCTTCTGGAGGCAAGAGTTCAGCATGGGCAATAGTGATGACTTCCGCAATGGCTCTTGGGGCCACAATTGGAGTTGTCAAAGATTCTAGATCACTGACGCTTTCACCAAACTCGTCCAAAATCCACTCTCCGTCAATGAGCTTCACCAAGGTGGTTCGAAGCCACAAACCTTCTGCAGGACAGAGGGTCGTGTCCACATGTTGCGCTGAAAAATTCCTCAAGGCAAAAATAGTCTGGCTCACTAATTCCATCCTGGCACTAATGCAGCAAGAGCTGCACCCAAGGTTAAAACCCGCACGTGAACAGCATGCTCTAAGCTAGCTGTGACTTTAGGCTCCAAGCCACTCAGATGAGTCGACCGAGGAACATCTTGGACCATCCTGATTTCCCCATACGCACAAAGCGAGTTGATCTTGAAATGCAAAGGTATTTCGTGAGAGGCCTTCTGGAGTGATAGCGAAGTGCTGTCACCTTGGCTACAGACGGTCCAACCGTCCTTCAAAAGCCTACCCGTCGAAATCAAGGGAGCAGTGACATTTGCAATGACAAATCTCTCGCGAAATGCCACTGATCCAAACCGGAGCTCTGCAATCCGCACGTCATGAACCCCAATGGGCTTACCTCGTGCATCTACATACTGCGAATGCCGACTATCAACATCTGATTCACCTACGTGTGCAAACGAGGAAGGGAGCACACTTCCGTCAGCTCCTGAGTCCAGAACAATTTCAACCAGTGTACCTGGTGAAGACCAGATTGCACGAACGTGTTCGTGTGACTCTTGCGAAGAATCTGTGCAAACAGAAAAACATGGTTCTAGTCCTGCGTACGTCCATTCTAAGTCGTTGTCTGAATATGTCATGTCGAAAATTCTGCAACTCATGTATTGCGTGCTCGACTGTGGTGCGTCTTCAACATTTGTGGCCGTCATGGCCTGTGAAACTACATTGCACGATCCCTCGAACGTGTCATACACCGTCAAGTCGAACACTTCGTATTCATCGAAGTCGTTGTCTGCAAGCTCTTCAATGGAGAGCAAACGAACTGCCTGCGAAGGTTGCGCAGCAGCGGTGGTCGAAGGCGCAGTGGTTGAAGGGGCTGAAGTTTGGGAAGCACTATCATCTGCAGTCACTGAGTTCACACTCTTCTTACCGCCTTTTCCATGCAAAAGCCTGCAATCTCGCTTCCAGTGACCGCTCTTTCCGCAGTAAAGGCAAACATCGGTCGAAGATGCACTTCCAGCCTTGCCTCCCTTTCCTTTTGGAGATGGAGACTGCCAGGAACCTTTACCTTTACCTAAGAAACCCTTGTCTCCCTTTGGCTTACCACTCTTACCCTTTCCAATGGGGTCCCTATATTTTCCTTTCTTTCCTTGCCCTTACCTTTTGAAACAAGATCGATTTCCATGGGGGCTGGTCCATTCGAACTCGAACTATTGCTGCCAACAATGCCAAGTTCCATGTGAATATTTGAAGGAGCCCACGAGGCGGTCACGGACTCATAACCGACAACAGCTCGTCTCGTCTCAGCATAAGTGCTCGTCTCCGTAAGCTGCAGTTGGATGTGTTGGCGGATGTGTCCAGGAAGACATTTCACAAGGACTGACAGCATCAAGTCATCTGGAACTTCAGCACCGCTTGAACGTCTGTATTCATCTCGAAGGCGCTCAAGCCCTAAGACCTGTTCCAGCAAAGTTCGGTCTTTCGTGAAAGGAGGGAGGTTCATCAATGCTGACAGCAAAGAAATTGACCGACTCTTTGTCCTCGGCTTGTAGAGCTGGCTCAACTGGCGCCAGGCTTCAAAGCCGTTGCGCTCACTAATCTGCAGTATCATGCGAAGTGGTTTTCCTCGAAGAAGGCCTGTCAGAATTGAATACAGTTGCCTGCATCTCACCTGAACCTCAGGCGATTCGCCACCAACTTCAATGGAGTTCTGAATGTTCCCTTCAATGCGTTGAAAGTCACCTTCAAAGCGAATGTCACTATAGAAAAGCCAAGCTTTGAAGTTTGCGGCAAATTCAGCGAATTTGGAAGTTTCACTGTCACTATCCCCAGAATCACTCCCAAAAGGATCCGGCTGCCGAACAACCTTGCTCGCTTCAGTGAATTTTTGCTGGGGTCTCTCCTGACTTGCTCGCAATGCCGCAGCTGCGTCCGCTGCTGCTTGAGCAGCTTGTGTGGCCGCTTGCGCCAGCTGCCCGATCTCAACGGGCGAAAGGCCAGCCATGCTCCCTGGTCGACGTTGACTCACAATCCAATGGCTTCGAATGAACTACAGGCCTACAGACCTAAGGGCGCTACCTAGAAAGAAAAGGACCCTCGGATGCCCTGGCACAGGTGGCTCAGGGCTCCGTGACTGTTTTCACTTGATCGAAAAGCGCCTCAACCGGGCGGTTCAATCTCTGATCACCTATACACGATCAACTGTACATACACATATATGGATGCGGAAATCTCAATCAAGAGCGCCAGCCCGATTATTCTGCGGACATCGATGCTCGCGCTCTCTCTTTCTCTCTTCTTTTTTTTTTGCTCGGTTCTTTTCCTCAAGCTGCATCCAGCCGCGGCCCTGTGGCCAAAAGCGGCACTGAGTAAGGCTCATTCGCCTTAGACCCAGTCTTCTCGACAGCCTCAAGGCTGGAGGTATCCTAAGACAACAGCGCCTCCAGGAGGACGTACCTGCCATCAACGTCCTCAGCTCTCAGAGCTCTTCGGCCCAAAATGCAGCTTTGTCTGACCTTTTGCTTTCAGACAATGGTGGTGCACCCACTGCTGCACGCGCCCTTCAACAACTCTGCAACTTTTGTGACATTGCTGACACTCAATCCATCGGCCTCTCCTTGCTAATCGATGGCTTGGGTGAATGCGAAGGCGCAAATTGAGGCCTGCTTCATCAACTGGGCCTGTCAAGCACTCCTTGTCAATCAACTGTTGGAGCTGTTGCTTGCTGCTTTTCCTGGGGACCCGCTCCCAACACAGCCGGCAGCCAAAGTTGCTGCCCTGCAGAGCCCATCGATGCCCTGGGTGGCCCTCCCCAAGGAGGTCTGAGCTATCCACTAATTCCACCATCTGTTGCTCCAAGGTCCTCTCAACATACCCTCTACATACTGTGTCCTGAAGGTGGGCAATCTCTGCATGTGTTGCGCACCCTTTGATCTTTTTGTTGCAATGCTTGCATTGGACACCTGGCTTGTAGATCTCCCACTCATGGTTGCCTGGATTTGCCGCCCTCAGAGTCAGCTGCCGCAGGATGGCCAATCTGCCACGAGCTGGCTTGAGTTTGGCTGCTGGAGGGCCACTCTCTTGGGCTGGTTCCAGCTTGCCATTCATGTAGTGGTCCTTGTCTTGCAGCATGTGACTGATTCGCTTGGCTGCAGTCATGTAGACTTCAAAGTGGAGCTGGTCCTCGATCACTAAGTCCTTTTCCAAGGACGTTGGCTGCTCTTGCTGAGCCCTTTGATGTGCCAGTTGCTTGGCCAGAAGATACTGCTGACGGCCCCTGTCATTGCTAGCTTGTCGCTTCATCATTTTCCACGGCACTTGGAGTAGCTGCAGCCTTTTCCACTCATCTGCGGGCAAGTTGTGCCACAGGTCTGGAGCCACTCGGCCTGCCGCACCTTTTTGAATCGCCGACCAGCCAGCTGGGTGAGGAATGTTCAGCTGATGCCTCCCCAGGACCATTTGAAGGACCAGCCAGCACCCAAAGAACCATGCCCTTGCTTCACTGCTTTGACCTGGGGCGATTGCAGTGCACAACCCAATGACATTCCACGAGTCAACCTGCCACTGCATTGCAACCACCGCAACTGCATATCGTCTCAGCCTCAGGTCTCTGCTGGTCTGCTGCACCCCAATGGCAAGCCTTTGATGTGGACCAATCCTCACAGGCCATCCATGACTGAAGATGCCATCAACTCGACAAGAATCAGCGCCCTCACATGGATCAAACGCCGGCATTTCAATTAGGCCTCGTGCCCAGAGCATTGTATTCTCATTGGCTGCAATCATCTGCTTCCACTCTTGCGGCAACTCATCTTGGTGGTATTTGCATTGCCAAATCAGGTGCTTCATACTCACTGGGACCTGACACAAAGGGCACATCATCCTCTCTCCACCGTAGTGAGCTCGCAGGGAGCCTTGTGTCCATGCATTGATGGCAGCCTTCTGGCCACTGGGAGCTTTTTGCATGGCTTTCCTGTAGATGCTCCAGTCAGGCCTCCGCATCAGGGGAAAGGCATGCTCCAGCTCCTGAATCCTGCGGGCCCTCTGATTGTCCATCTTTGTCCATCTCAATCTTCAGCTGCCTTTGAAGATAGGGCCACGGGAACTCCAAGTTCAGCTGAGCCGGAGGCAGGATGCCAGTCGGTGCACGGACCCAATCATTGAGACTGCTGGCATCCCATCCCATGTCCATCATGTACACCTGAAGTGCAGCCATGGGCCCTGTGACCACCATCCAAGGATAGGCTGCAGCTTTGAGCCTTCGCCAGCTCACTCTCCATGCTGTGTGGAGCTCCGCAAGCTGCTCCGGAGGCCAATTGAGCACCAGCAAATGCATGGCCTTGAGCTGTCTTTCAACCACAGTAGCCAGTGGGTCTTGCAGCTTTCCATTCTGGTCATACACAACGTCCACACTACCTCCCTTCTGAAGACCTCCATGCCTGGCCAGCTGAGTACGGAGGGTCTGGAGGCGCTGGGGCGCAATGCCCTGAGCTTCCAATCCATAACACGCTGCTGAGTGTACAGACGTCTTCCACACTCTAATACGAATGGGCCGGGCCTTGATCTTCAGATGCGACAGCTTGGCATTGCGTCGACCAGCCTTGAGAAGCCTTTTCTGCTGGTTGCCAATCCTCCTCCGACGACCCCCACTTGAATCCAGGCCTAAATCTTTCAAGAGCTCGTGAACATTGGGTTGGCCCTCTTTGCGCAGCAGGGTGATCTCCCTCTTGCAGTCATTCGAGGAAGCCAGGTAGCCTGTCTTGGCTAGAGACATCTGCAATCCAGCATCTGTAAGCCGTTGCTGCAGTACATCAAAGCCATGCAGGGCTTCTTGACACACAGCTTGCACACTGTCGCCAACAAAGTCAATGGAAATGTCATCAACCCACACATCAATGGAAGCTTTATGGAACTGCTCCTTGAACGGGCCCAAAACTGGTGCTAAGATCAACTTGGCTACCAACGGAGCGGCAGGGCATCCAGCCAGGATCCCTTTGGAGCATGTCACCGGTCTGGAGGTGACTTGTTCGCCTTGGAGCAGCCTTGGCCCGGTGTACACTTCGTAGACCATGTTCATCACTGCCGGGGTAAAATCCAAAGGCTCCCATGCTTCCAACAGTTGCTCCAAAACCACACTGTCATAGAAGCATTGAAGGTCGACCAGGAGCGACACCACATGCTTCCCAGTGGCACGGCCTACCTCACACTTCAACAATCTCATGAGGGCGACCTGAAGGACTTGCGTGCCCGGCACACTGCTCTCCCAACTGAGTTTTTGCCCAACACTGGTCTGCCATGGTCGCAGTTTGTCCCATCTCAAGCGGCACCATGTCCTGTAGAGCACACTCGTCAGCGAGATGGGCCTCTCAATGTCTTCCTTTTTTGGGAGCAACAGTACCAATGTCGTGCGGACTTGCTCAGGAAGCCGACCTTCAAGTTCCCACTTCCTGTACATATTGCACAGGGCAGTTACCCCTTCAATGGGCAGGGCCTTCAGCAAAGCATAACTCACGCCATCCGGGCCAGAGGCTTTTTGAGGCAGCTTGCGGAGCTGTTTCATCACTTGATGTGGGTCGAGATCTTCCCATTGCCGAGCTTGCACAATGCCCTCATATCTCAATCGCTCTCTCTCCCCACTAGCCTTGGGCTTGTCAACAACTTGCCACATGCCAAACCACTGTGTCTCCCTCATTTGCTGTCGCTGCTGAACCGGCACCTGACGGAAAGGCCTGACATGAACAGCATCTGGGGCCTTCAAACATTTGTAGATGCCACTGTGACCCCGGAGGGTTGCTTGAGAAAGCCAGTTTTGGTACTCCTCTGCTTGCCGACCCATCGCCAGTTTTTGAGCGTGCTCTTTGTTGCAATCAGCTCCTTGGATCAGCAGGGTGATCGGGACATCAGCACCATTGATAAGCTCTTGCAATCCAGCTTGGAAATCCTCAAGGCCATGGATGTCCTGCCACCTGCTTCGAAGGTCAGCAGCTTTGGCCCTCAGGTGCGCCAAGGTGCCAACACTGATGTGGCCTCGCTGGGCCACATGCTGCAACAAAGAGCTCATCTGCCCCCAGTAGGCTAAGTCCCCTCTGCGCCACGGTGTCAGTGGTTTCGTCTTAGCCAGCGGCTTGATTTCCAAGGCCAGATACCAACCTCTGCCAAACTTAGGTTGGTGCAGCTGTTGTAAGGCAAACTGCTCAGCCTGGTGACAGAATTCAGCACATTGTATCTCTTTGGGTCCAACCGGCATGCCAAGCCAGAACGGCTTTGGTGAGGGTTCAAATTGATCCCACGGCTTCTCAGCCTCTTCCATCTTGGGCACAGGGGCAAAGTTCGTCAGTTGCTGCAGGGCCAACCTAGGCGCTTCCTGTGCCACATGGACCATCAATCCTGCATGCGGTTTCCATGGGACATCCCAGTTGACTTTAATGTCCAGGTAGGGAGCAATGGCCCTGCTGGCAACTATGTAGTCAATCTCCGCACCATTGATCATGGTTGGCTGGCCACTGCTCACCACTTCAGCTTTTCAAAACATTCAGGAGATTGTGGCTGTCCCATTGTGCAGGCGGTACTTGAAAGTCCCCAATCAGGAGCCATGGGATGGCCAGTTCTTGG